AAATAGTTATTTTTTCTGTCTATTTAGGCAAAGATTATAGTGGTAGTAATGTACTAAAACAAAGTATTAATAATAATAAATTTGATTTTTTTTTAAAAAAAAATTCGGTTTATGAAATTCCCTGGTCGAAACTTCTGTTCCGGTTCATAATTAAGTAATCATAGCTGAAGGATACATTTTTACGGCTAACTGACACGTGTATAAATAAATTGTTGTAGGCGGGATAATGAGTGGAATTAAATTATTATATAAACTTGTAATTATGAAATCTCATATCCAAATTTTCTAACCATCATTTTTTGTTAATTTTTTTTTTTACTATATATAGCTTTGTGGTGAATGAATATTTGAAGGCAATGAAGAAAATGGCATGTGAGGTTCTTGAGATGTTAGCCGATGGACTTCAAATTCAGCCAAGAAACACTTTTAGCAAACTTCTAATGGATGAAGAGAGTGACTCTATTTTTAGGTTAAACCACTATCCTCCAAGACCCGATTATCCAAACTCGAAAGACATTAATCTAATCGGGTTTGGGGAGCACACTGACCCGCAGATTATATCCGTTTTGAGGTCCAACAATACTTCGGGCCTCCAAATCTCGCTTAAGGACGGCAGTTGGATTTCTGTCCCGCCAGACGAGAGTTCTTTCTTCATCAATGTTGGCGATTCATTGCAGGTATAACTACTTTTTTCGTTTAATTCTACTAATTTTACTTGTATTTTTCTTTCTTTGACATGCATGTTGATTAATCCTTTATAAATAGAAATTGATGTACCGAATCGGAGACTTTGTTCTCAAACCAATGCTGGTGCAATGCAGGATAACAGTTAGATAGATCGACTTTGTTGGACAAATTTTTTGAGAGTTCAAATATTACGACTATCTAATGTTCAAATCGGCCTAACAAATTCGGATAATTTGACAAAAAGAATATTATGCATGCATCAATTTGAGGTGATGGGGACCTTCTTAGAATTTTCCATTTTATTTTTACTTAATTATTGTTTCTTTTTGGTTACTAATTTTCTGCTTTTCATGATTGTTAAAATATTCTTTGGCCAATGATGTGAAGTTTCCTAGTTATGACTAAACTTATTTAAATTGAAAAAGGTGCTTCTTTTGTGTGAGGCCACAAGATTTCCCTATTTTCATTGAAATCCCAATATTCTTTATAACTTATATAAAAGAACAGTTTTTCTAAGATAAATCTTGACTAGATTCCTCGACAACAAGATTTTATTTCCAATAGTCAAAGGTCAACCATTTAGGTGCGCAGTCAGAATCTTTGAAAAAATTTAATTTGTGATATTTTTAAATAATTTTATTTTTTGAATCACTCACGTGGAAAGCACTTTACAAAACAAAAAAATCAAAAATATTTCATAAATAATCAATCTATTTATATAATTCAATTTTCCTTCAAAATTTGGCAAGTAATTTTTTTTTAAAAAAAATATTATCTATCCATCGTGAGCACATTAATATGTGCTGACCAACCACGTATCAAAATTTCACAATTTTTTAGTCATATATCTATTTACCTACTTTATATGTTATTTAATCTTCTGACATATCAATCGGATACATTTTAAATATGTTTAATTTATCTTATGATTTTTTTTTTATTTTTTTTTTTTAATTTTTTGGGCAGGTAATGACCAATGGAAGGTTTAAGAGTGTAAGGCACAGGGTTTTGACCAACACCTCAAAATCAAGGCTTTCAATGATTTATTTTGGAGGACCACCTTTAAGTGAGAAAATAGCTCCATTGCCTTCATTAATGGAAGGCAGAGACAGCTTGTACAAGGAATTTACATGGTTTGAGTACAAAAAGTCTGCTTACAAATCAAGGCTCTCTGATAATAGGCTGGGCCTCTTTGAAAAATTAAAGCCTTAATTAGGTTGTATTTCTCTTAATTAGGAAAAATTATGCGAGTTTCATGTCTAATTAAGGCTTGCTTGTGGGGGGTTCAATTAGTAGCATATGTATTAGATTGATCCAAGTGTTATATAGGGTGATTAAAGTATGTGTTTTGGTTTTGCAGTTTGTTGATCACTTGTAAACTTTATTAATGTTAATAATACATGATATATATTATATGAATAGGGCTTGGTTTTATTATCTATTTCTTATTCTTTTACACAATTTTGCACTACTATAGGGAATCTTAAATTATTCAACAAACTTTTTTATGCCAATCAGGCCTCAAAAGGGTCAACCCATTTAAGTATGAGAAAGTACTTTATAAAAAAATTTGGTTTTGTTTGGATTTTTTATTGTTTGTTTTGATTAATTTTGAAAAAGTTGGTATGGTTAGTTGTTAGTGGGTATATTAGAATAATATTTAAAATAAAATGATTAAAGTTGATTTGATGTAAAGTAGAAGAGAGAAGATTTAAAGTGATGGTTAGTTAAAATTATGTCAGTGGATGAATAGTGAATTAAGGTAATATGGTGTGTAATTATTTAATTATATTGATAATATTGATGATAGTGGGGTTGAGTTAAAGTTGAGTTAAAAAAAATAGTTGAGTTAAAAATGTTTAGATTTTTTTGAGAAATTTTGTATCCAAGCATGCTATTATAATTCTAAATTCTAATCCAAATCAAGAGAAAGTACTTTGGAACCCGTGTGAAAGTACTTACAATTAAACACAATTTACAGTCAAAGTACTTGAAGCCCGTGTCAAAGTGATGTGGGATCTAAGTATATTATAATTCTAAATTCTAATCAAATCAAGAGGATCAAGAGGACAAGTTCAAACAATATATCCATCTTGGAGTAAAATGATGGATGTTTAATCAACGTTGGGTATATATGTAAAATAATTATAATATTGTGACTGCTAAATAATGAAGTTCGAATAAAGTGATTAATAAAGACTTAAGTTATTGAGATTTAAGTATCGATATGGTGTGTCTTTAATGTGTATAAATGAACGAGTTTTATTTATCTAATGATGGACTTAAATTAGAATATCGTCCAATGTAATGTAAGAATATATGTGGCCCGAAAGCATTGAACTCACATTTAATTATCTTATTGGCCTAGACCTTTATTTAATAGTCAAACAAATCTAAGCCATTAATCTGGATATTTGATGGACGTACCAGATCTAAAGCGATTCCTATATAAATTAGTCCTCTATTCTCCAGTTAGGGTACGCAGTTTTTCTCATCACTTTTCTGCTACGTTAAGAGAAGGTCAGGAGAGAGAAACTAATTTAGATCTACCAATCTATTCAACCCCGTGTGATCATCAAGATCAAGATCACAAATTATGCCGTCTTCCGCATCAAGTAATTGTTTCGTATACACCAAATTATTTATTCAAGATCCTATGATGATGTTTACATGTAACTCAGTCTTATGAAGTGTTGTGGTTTGTAAATTATACATATCGTGTTTTCCTCTGAATCTCATAATCACAGAGAACATATAGAAAAAGTTGATGTCTCCAAAATGATCACATTATGAGAATGTCAAATCTTTAAATCTCTAGTTCAGTCGCCTATAGACTCAATTACACTTCAACAATCCATTTATGATATTTTTATTATTCAATAATTAAAGAATGCTAGTTTTGGCAAATGTTAATTATAATATAGAAATTAAGTGGAACTACAATCCCCATAAAAAATGCATGATCTTGAATGATTAGGTGAGTTTGAAGAAAGACTTTTTGTACTTCTGGTCATGGAAATGGAGTACAAGAAAATCCATGCACTCAAAAGTAAATTTGAATAATTGTGGGTTTGAATTAGAATAGTATTTAAATTTCTTCTTTACTTTTCTTTTTATGATACAAATTGATATTGTTCTACCTACTAATGGCACAAATATTATAAAGATCTTTGGACTAAAAATTATGGGTTTTTGTGGACTTGTAAAGTTGAGCTGCTAATCCCAAGCTAATCAGCTTTTTGTCACAACACTTAAAAGAGTGAAAGCACATGGTTTGGAACTTCCTAAGAAAGTGGCCCAATAATCAGAATTCTATGTGGTTGACTGATTGTCCACCCGTGACATGATTTAGGCCAGAAATAACACATGTNNNAATTGTAATGGATAACAGAAAATTGTACTCCCTCATTTTTTTAATAAATGCCGTTTTGAGAAGTTGCACATTAATTAAGAATATTTTTTTTGCCAATAATAACTCTCATTAATGAGGATAAATATGAATGTTCTGAAAAAAGATAAAGAGAGAATATGAAAAGACATAGGGTAATAATGAAAAAATATGTACAAAATATCCAAAACGTCATTTATTTGGTTAATTGTTGATAAAGCCAAAATGACATTTATAAAAAAAAGAAGGCAGTATAAGTTAAGTTTTTAAATGGAATTTTATAACTCTTTTAATAATCATATACTTTAACTGCTGACATCTTATAAAATTTGTTTAAATAAAATTATTGTCATTAAAAATGCACATTTTATTCTGATTATTTTTTTATGTTAGCTAGTAGTTTTAGTTTATATATTAATTGATGCAATTTGCATAATTACACATAGTTCAAGATATAAATTTATTAAAAAAAATAAAATAAAAATTATACTAGTGAAAATCAGTCACCATGCATGCATAGTTTGGTCTCGTAGAAAATTAATTGCCGACTCCATAGAAAATTTTATATTAAAATATGCTATATATATAATTGCTAGCAAAGAATTTAATAAAACTTCTTTTGTTTTTCCCCATTTTCTGTTATTTTTGCATTCATTAAGTAATTATATTTTTTTTTATTTTATTATATAATTATTACTATTAACTAATAATAAAGTAACATTAAATGTTATAATATTCTAAAGCTTTTTTCAAACTATTTCTTTAAACTTATTATTTCTTTTATTTTTTAAACTCATTAATAATTTTTCAATTAAAATTAGTTAAATATTTTTTATGGCATAACCAAACTATTTAAATTTTGTACGCAATTGCAATAATAATAATTTCAATACTATTTTGTCCAATTAATTGGTCATAATCAGCCAAGATTACATCAGTATAAAGATTACAATGTAAGTTAAATAATTTATATTTATATCTTCATTTTTACTAATAATAAAATTTATTAAATGTGATAGACTCATTATCTAACTTATGATTTCAATATTACATAAATACATATATATATAACGTATAAAATTTTATCTACATTTATGCATGTGCACAGGAGCTATACTAGTGAAGTATAAACACGAAAATAAAATTCAAAGTGAAACCTTATGAAGCTCCTTCTCACAAAGTGCGTTTTGTAAATTTTCTATATTGGAGCCCAAGCTTTAATTTGGGCCAGAAAATGTCGAAAGATAGCCCTTGAGTGTGGAGGCCCAACTTTGCACTATTTGACCACAAAACTTTAGAAAGGCCCTTTTAATAATCTTACAATTTTGCTAAAAAATGGATGGGATTTCTCTCCTCATTCGTCAAATTAGGGCACCCCTCTCAAATTTTGCTCCAATGGCCGAATTGATGTGACCTTGTGTATTCAATGAGGGAGGGAATGATGTGGCATAAGAAATAAGCTTGATATAAAAAAAAATGGGCTCGCTCCAAATCTAGAGCTATCAATAGCCCAAGTGAACAAGTCAAAAATTTTGGATTTAATAATATTTAACTATTTGGTATTTTTGCTAATCAAGCCAATTAAACCCTACCTAAGTCCAAGAGGAGTATGAGACGTTAAATTATAAATTACACGGTCGAGTATAGAGTTTATATAGTATTTTAATACAAACAAATTGAGCAACTTGTGAGTCGTCACGAGCACTCGAGTCATAGTTTGACTCAAACTTACACATGATCAAGATTTGGAATTGGTCAGTCGAATCGTCTTGCTCGTTGATTACTAGTTTTGGAGCCAAATCGGCCGGTTGACCAATGTTCATGAGTATAGCTTGTATTATGGTTGAGACGGTTCCGACCTCCCCTTAAAAAAAATTGAATCGTCGATTTCGGCCCCAATTCAATGTCATGGGCCTGACTCAACGGTTCAACATCAACATATAAATTTTCAAATTTTTATTATTATTATTTTTTTTTTTCGTGGGGTCGGGCTAGTTTGGAACCTAAATCGGATGGTGGGATCATCCAAACGATAGAATTTTTAAATTTCTCTGTGGGATCTTGTGAGATCTTGTGACTGCTGGACCTCCAGCGGTCCAAATCTTCATGACTCCCAAACCCAACGGTCCATCAAGGAGTAATAAAAAAAATGGAAAGAAATAAAATTATCGACGAATTGTAGGCTCGACAGACCATGCCTGAATCGGGGCCGTCGATTTATCTCGTCGGCCCATCCGTTCATGTTCATAACCAACTGGCTGGACCATTTAGCCATGTATACTCGAGCTCGAGTATGATCGAGCTTGAGTTTAGCTCGAGCACCTCGAACCGAACTCAAGCCAATATGTTACAAGCTCAAATGTTCGAGGAGTCGCTCGAGTACAAGTGTAATTTGCCTAAATACCCTAATTTGAACAAACTTCGAGGCAAACCCAAACTAAACTCAAGATAAACTCTTCTTTAAATACATAAATTTTATTGAAAACTAGTGTGTACCCGTGATATGCACAGGTAAATAATAATAATAATTATAATTAAAGATGAGGATAAATAATATTAACTATAATTATAAATTTACCGTACATAGTTTATTGTAAACAATATAAAATTATCTTGTATAAAAAAACATTAAAAGAATGTATATTTAAAATATTAAAATTTAGAGAAGATTTACATATTATATATAAAATAAGTATTGAGATGATACTGAAAATTATTACGTAATCTCTGTGTACTCCTCGTTTTCCACTACAATGATCATGATGTACTTGGGCTTGGGGTGCGCGGTCAAAGTCAGGTCAGACCGAGCTGGTTGAGCATGACATTTTTCTAACTAAAGCCAAGCCACGGTAGTAGGGAAAACGGTCCTTGTAACAGCACTAGAGAGGGGATAGAGACTCGAGACTTCAAAGTAATATCCTTCTTCCTCTGAGCCAGGTTCCTTGGAAAATTTGAGTTTAAAATAAACGGAGGCTTAACAATTCCACGCTTTATGCATACACTTTATTTATCAATTTTACAAATTATATTAATAATTTTAGAATCTCATTATTAATATTTTTATTCGTACATGTATCAACAAATGTTGGCTGAAAAGTTAAGATTTTTTATGCAATAAATGTTGGCTGAAAATTATTGCTTACTATTTTTGGTAAATAGTTAATCTATATATATATAAAAGTAACATTCGAGCAAATCAAATTTGAGCTTATCCAAATGTTTAGTGGTCGTCCGCCTTGCCTCGTCGGGCCCTGGCAGACCCCGATAGGTCCTGAAAAACCTTCGATTTGTAACGAAAGACCTTCACTTGATACCAGACAACAACCGATTAGTCTCCAACAAGTCCGATCTCTTCGCTTCAAGCTGAAACCAAAATTAGCCAAATATAGTCAAATTTCAACAATTAATAACACACATAATTTACGAATGCTAAAAATAAATAAGAGATAAATCAGAATGAATACACCCTTCATCGAGTTTGAATACGAGGGCCGGAAAACCACTAGGATTGGTTTTATACGACTAGGCGCATCCCCCTTTCGTCAACCCCTCAAACAGAGTCACCGAAGAACCGATTAATGGACCAGTGGCCACAATCACTCCGGCTCTACAAGCCCAATGGTAACACCACCGGTCGACGCTGAAACCGCCCGTACACAAAACCATTAAACACCTCTTGCGAATAACTCAACTGAATACATGAGAGAGACCTTGCCATTCTCAATCCACTTATCACAAAGATTTTGAAGGATAGGAGAAGGTTGGATCAATTCGACACAAGGTCAAAAGAGAACGAGAGAGTAAGAGAGTGACATAAAGAGTAAGCAGAAATTAAGATGGTTGCTTAGGGTATGTCAGAATATTAAGCTACACTACAAATTGACCACATGAATATGTATTTAAAGAGGGCAACAAAAGATCAAGATCAAACAACTTAAATACGAACGACTAAGATCACTAGATCAAATGGGCTGCCACATGTGAACTCAGGCCAAAGAATATTGAGCCTTGGAGTGAAAAATATTGGGGCCATCAATAATTATCTCAGTTGAGCAATTAATATCAACATAGAACATTTTTACGAGTCGAGCTCGAGAAGCGGTGAAAATATCAAGCTCTACTCAATAAGGTTAAAACTCAAATCCATGCTTCTCGTTTGCTACTCTAGGTTTGTTGTAATGAATTGCTAAACATCGCTCCCTTTTTATTACCTACCGCTCCCCCCTTGGACCGTTTTGTCCTTGACATTTTTTTTTGTTTAAAAAAAAACATTGCCGGCCGGCTGGCGATTGCGGCCATGCTCGGCAGCAGTCGTCCGATTCGGCCGGCAAGTCCGGCGGTCGGCGGGTCAACCGTATTTTTTGTTTTTTGATCAAATTTTTATTTAAATTATGCTAGAATTTTAAAATTATTATGTTATAAATTAAAATTGATTATTTTATAGAACTTATTATTATTATGTTATATATTAGAACTGATTATCTTGTAGAATTTATTATTATTGTGTTAGAACGTAGTAATAATTTCATTTCTAATTTATAACATAATAATAATAAATTCTATAATATAATCAATTCTAATTTATAACATTATAATTTTTAAGTTCTAACATAATAATAATAAATTTTAATTTATACATATTAATTTCTAAATTTCAACATAATTTAAATAAAAATTTGATCCAAAAAAAAGAAAAACACGGTTGGCCGGCAACCCGCCGCACAAGTTGGCGGTCGACTGTCGGATTGGCCGGCCAATCAGCCAACAGCCGCCCGAGTGCGGCCGCAATCGCCGTCCGACCGTTTTTGTTTTTTTTAAATAAGAAAAAAATATCAGGGACAAAACAGTTCATGAAGTGTTTTGTAGTAAACGGTGTTTAGTAACATCCTTTGTTGTGTATATCTTGAAATTATTCATTTTGTTAACTTCTGTTACAAACCCAAACAGCTCTTATTGGGCCACGTCGATAGTAATAGTTCACAGTTGCCTTCTTCATCTTCTCGCCCCACTCCAAAATTCTAACCTAAAAGGCTAAAATAACTAACAATCTATTCCTCACCCCTCGAAATCCCTAACTCAAAATCTCAACGCAATTGTCAATGGAGAACGATAGCAGCAACAGCAACGAAGACTCACCTTCGCAAGCTCTACAATCATTGTCCATTTCCACTCAACCACAGTAATCTCTGCTAATTTCTTGAGTTCAGCTGCAATTCTGTATTTTATTTTGTTTTTCGTTGAATTAATGCTGTTTAGAAATAGTACTATGAGTGTTAGTTGTTGGATTAAACTGTTGTAGGATGAGCGTGCAAGAGAAGTTCGATTTAATAAGGAGCATAGGTGAAGAGTGCATTCAGGAAGATGAGTTGCAGAGATTATTGGCTAACAAACCTCAGCCCATTTGCTATGACGGGTTTGAACCCTCAGGCAGAATGCATATTGCGCAGGTTGTTTAATTACTTTTAAAAAGACTGATCTTTTTGTTTGGAGCTTCACCCAAGCTATGTTGGTTTTTGCATTTTCTGTTCTTCAATGCTCAATTAGTTCGATTTCTATGTTTTGAAGTTTCTGAGAGTTTGGTGTTTCTATTAGTCTATGCCATAACTGCCCATGATGATCTAGTTCAGCTATAAGTATCATAATCTGTTAATTGTTTAGTATCTGTTTAGCTCTTAGTTCATCTGGAGGAAGATTGTGTAACTGTATATACACTCTCTCCTTGATACGCATATGTTTATTCTGTATGGATTTAGAAATATTGGTTGGGTAGTTAAAGTATTTGGCTTAGTTAAGCACGATTTTGATGCTTATTTTTGACGGTATGTGATTGGGCTTATTATGTCTGTCAACAGGGGGTTATGAAGGCAATTAATGTCAACAAACTGACTTCTGCTGGCTGCAAAGTGAAGATATGGATTGCAGATTGGTTTGCCCAGCTGAACAACAAAATGGGTGGTGACCTGAAGAAAATCCAAGTGATAGGGCAGTACCTGATCGAAATATGGAAAGCTGTGGGGATGAATATTGAAGGAGGTCAAGTTGAATTTTTGTGGTCTTCTGAGGAGATTAATTCCAGGGCTCATGAGTATTGGCCCCTTGTTATGGACATAGCAAGGAGGAACAAGCTTCCTAGGATAGTCAGGTATTAGATCCCAATTTTTAGTAGTTTTAATGAATGTGCGCGAATTTAGTGCTGTCTATTTAGTATTTTTTTGTTTGTTTGTTCCCTCTTAGATGTTGTCAAATTATGGGCCGCACGGAGCAAGATGAATTGTCGGCAGCTCAGATCTTCTATCCATGCATGCAGTGTGCTGATATATTTTTCCTTAAGGTGACTATTAGATAAGCAATATGTGAGTGTAGGCCTAACTAATTAGGTACAGTTAGGCGTTTGTATTATACACTTATATCTGTTAACTTGAGACAATTGTTTTCTTAACTTCTACATTCGGATGAAACGTCAGCCTCTCTTTTTACCCTCGTTTATTAAGAAATTGATTTTGTTCTCTTGATTTTCATATTTCACGTGTATTGATAGCTTCTCTCTAATCATGAGAAAAACCCATTTTCAGTTCATTCAAAGTTTATGTTCTTCATATAAACAGGCCGATATCTGCCAACTGGGCATGGACCAGAGGAAAGTAAATGTGCTCGCAAGGGAGTACTGTGACGACATCAAGAGGAAAAATAAGCCGATTATTTTGTCCCACCGTAAGATTATTTCTGTCCTTCGAACCTGGCATTTTGATAGCTCTAATAAAACTTTTAGTTGATGATTTTTTTTTTGTCTGTTGTTCTTTTTGCATGTAGATATGCTCCCAGGTCTGCAAGAAGGGCAGGAGAAGATGTCTAAGAGTGATCCATCTTCTTCCATTTACATGGAAGATGAAGAGGTACTGTCTGGTACTTTTNTAACGTTTGATATCAGTTACTAACACTGAAATTTTACAGGCCGATGTGAATTTGAAAATAAAGAAGGCATTCTGCCCCCCGAAAGTTGTGGAAAAGAACCCATGCCTGGAGTACATCAAGTACATCATTTTTCCATGGTTCAACGAGTTCACAGTCGAGCGAAAACCAGAGAATGGAGGTGACAAGTGAGTTTTGCTGGCTCCATTTTTGGTTTCTTGCTGACTTCCAAAATTAGTTATCGATTTAGTTTTAGTTTTGAATCAAATTTGCCCAGATTTGTCGTGTGGTCCAGTGATTTTGGATTAATTTCTAGACGTCTATATATATATGTATGTATTGTACTCTGATTGTGTGCTCCTTCTTCAGGACTTATAAGAATTTCGAAGATTTAGCTGGTGATTATGAAAGTGGGGAATTACACCCTGGGGATCTCAAACCTGCTCTAGCCAAAGCATTGAACCGGATACTACAGGTCTTTATTTAATTTTAATCAACGATTAGTCTTTATTTAATTTCAAAGATTTTTTTTTGGGGCACCGGTGAGAAGGGTAGAAACATGAGAATATAGAACGCAAATTAAACGAGAGAGGTAATTAAAAGAGAGAGGGGTAGACCGAAGAAAACTTGGAAAGAGATCATAAAAAATGATTTAAAATATTTAAATTTTAATGAGGATATGTGCTTTGATCTAGCACAATGGCGACATGTGATCCTTATAGCCGATTCCACTTAAGTGGGAATTTAAATTGATTGACTGATTAGTTTTTGTTTGTGCCAGATCATTCTCTCGTTTAACTGTCAAAAGCATAGAGTTTATACGTAGATTAATTCTACTGTCTTTTCATGATAGGCAATAAAACAAACCCATGTGCTATCCTACACTTGAGTTATCACTGTTTTGGTATACAATCTGTCGAAATATCAATTCTATGCTCAAAGCTCTTCTCGAAGCAGTTGTGTGAATCACATTGCTTCTTGTTTTTGTTCATGCAAACCATCTTTGATCTTGCATCACCTTACTATGTTGTGTTCTATGGTCACACGTCTCACAATAATGAAGCAAACACTCATCGTCGTTGATTTTTGTTACTTTTTACTAGGGGAAGTTTAAATGTTGAAGCCTATGAAATTGCTTCTTGCTATAATATTATTATCATTAATAATTATTTTTCATAAATTAGCGCATGTTTATTTACTTGGGCTTTTATCTGTTCTGCAGCCGGTCCGTGACCATTTCAACACTGATCCTAAAGCTAAGGACCTGGTGAAACGTGTGAAGGTAAGCACGCTCGACTTCTGCCTCTACTTTGTCTGCTCACGATTCGTATTTGTGAGAAAGAAATGTGAAAAAATAAAAATTATTTATGAATATTTGCCCGATATATCCTATGAATAAATCACGCTGTTACCAAATAGGTGGAACAATGTCATTCAAACTCTAATGCTGCAATAATCAGCTGTATAACTACTTTGGTTATTAATTTTTATTTATTTATTTATTTTTTATTTCGCGGGTTATATCAGATTGTTTTATTTTCTTTTTTCATCCACACAGAGCTTCAAGGTAACGAGGTGATGAGGAACGAGATCGAAAGCTTTTGCCTCCCTAAATGAGAAACTCCCGACATGGATTAGTCGCAAGGATATTATCAACAATATGCATTTACTGTGGCTCAAACAAGAAATCTTATTTCGAACTTCTAATAGTGTTAAATTGCGACGAAGCTAGTTTTTTGTCATTTTTTTGTGATTTCAGTCCTGTTCGTCAGCTCTCATGTACCATCTGATAGCATCTGTATTTTTCGACGAGGGAAGAAAAGAAAACAACCTTTTTAGTTATATGAACTGCTTTTAAAGTAAATTACTACTTTCTTTTAACTCAACTACTTTCTTTTAACTCAATTTTAACTCAACTCCACTATCATCAATATTATCAATATAATTAAATAATATCAATCAATCATTCTTACACACCACCTTACCTTAATTCACTATTCATCTACTCACATAATTTTAATTAACCATCACTTCAAATCTTCTCTCTCCTACTTTACATCAAATCAACTTTAATCATTTTATTTTAAATATTATTCTAATATACCCACTAACAACTAATCATACCAACTTTTTCAAAATTAACCAAACTAAACAAAAAAATCCAAACAAAACCAAAATTTTTTATATCCAATCATCCTCTTATGTTCTCGTATTCAGCTACATACCAGTTCACAGCTGCTTTCCGAAACAATTTTTGTTTATCTTACTCCCAGAGAGTAGTGTATAATTTTACCGAGCAAGGGTAGATTTTGTTCCTATCCCGACTGCCCTCATCGGCTCCATTGGATCAAGTGAAATTCACCCAAGTTATAGTTTTTGTCCAACTATCAGAAAATGGGATTTTGTCCTTACATTTTGTGACCACCACTTTACTTTATTACATGCATCTTAAAGTGATAATTTTATAGCCTTTGAGTTTGACATAGTATTTTTCAGAACTCAAGCTCTGTCAAGTGAACAATCTTCCTTACCGAAAAACAGCTTCTGATAACCGACATCGTAGACGAATCTCACGTTCTGCTGCTGATACGCGCCGAGTATCGTCATATTATGCATCCCAATCATCGCTAGGCAAAATCTATCCCCCTCGACGTGGAACAGATTTGTGGGGCCCACGTCCAAGTCAGCATCCTGGAAATGAAATGTCATGTTCGGGTAGCTTCTGAATCCTCGAGGAAGTCGATAGCAGAATGAATCAGCCAGAAAGCCGCTCGAGACGCCTGTTATCCTCGTCAGCTTATATTTCTCAAAATACAGCATGAGAAACCTTCGAATCTCGTTGTATGCTCGGATTTCGATCACGCTCTCGCCACACCCTGCATCTAACATGCAGCCTCCCGAGAAGGTCCCAACCAGTAGATTCAGACGTTTCCCTGTGATTAATGTGGCTCTCAGGCAATTTTTTTTTTTTTTTTTTTTTTTNTTTTTTTTTTTTTTTTTTTTTTTTGGTAAAAACTAATAGCTGATAAGCTATGTTATAGCTTGTAAGTGATTTTCGAGCTTATAGCTTATGCTTATGACTTATAGCTGAAAAACTAGCTTATATGATAAAAGTGTGATAAAATCAGCTGATAAGCTAACTGAAATAAAATTTTCAACGAGCTTATTTGAAAAAGCTCTACCCAAAGAAGTTTATGAGATAAGCTCGAGCTTTTTAAAAAAAAACTCGTCCTACCAAATGAAGCTTATTTGAATACATAAAGCTTACAAGCTAACCAAATAAACTATAAACTAGCTTTTATTTGGTTACCAAACCTAGCTCGAGTCACTTGCCTGAAACGCTTATGTCCAGCAATGGCACTCTGTAGTTGTAGTCGATGTGGTTCAAAAAGCTCGTTTTTCGTAGGTTTCGGCCCTTGACATCATATCCGAACCTTAAAAACGTTGTCTTGACAGGGGAACTGATATGAGGGAGACAATAAGAAAACCGTTTAACGAGCGGGCCCATTTGGCTAAACATCGAGAGCGGTGATCGGCTCATGCCCATGATCCCAGTTACCGAACTCCTAAATCGTCCTATCTGGTTATCCGCGCAGCCAAAAACTACGTTTTTCACTCTCTCGATTGCTCGTTTCTTGTGTGATGGGAAGCCGAAAGTCTCGATGGAGACTTTTCCCCGCGCTGACTCACCAGAAGCATACAGTAGATGGAAAATGAAGCTGCTGCCGTTTTCCGATCGTCTGAAGTATTTTGCCGATGGGTGGTTTTGAGGGAGCGTTTGGAAGGATTTGGATTGTTTCGGGTCGAATAAGGGATAGTCTTGTTTGAAACACTTGATGCATGGAGTGCACTGTGTCCAGGTTAGTTCGCAGCCAGGGTCGAAAATGAAGGATTTTTTGGAGGGAGGTGTGCCGATAGTGGCCTCGATTGTGAAAATGGAATTCGACCTCGTGATTCTTGGGCGGATTGTGTTCGGGAAATAGTTTGCGGGTGTCGAGTTTTCAGATAAGGTGGTGATTTTGTGCCGTGTGAGTTTTAGGGAGAAACCTGCGGCCGATCTCGAGTCGAGAGAGAGGGAATGATGGAGGAGAGATAAGGGAAGTAAAATGAGAAGAAAAGAGGGAAATGGTGTAGCCATGGTTAAGGTTTTATGTATTTGTTGTGATGGAATATATACATCACTGATGCCCTGTGAAAAGGTAAGTCAGATTTTCACATTTGAACACAGGCTGAGAGAAGTAGTGAATGTTTTTTTGACATAATGAAGCTCTTATCTTCAACTTTGTTTTTCCAATACTTCAAATCTTGCCCAATAAATTTAATTTACAAACAGAAAGAGGCAGTAAAAAGTTATGGGGTTGTTTGCAGCAAATGAGATTCACTTTTTTCAGTTTTTAATTTAGACAAGGAGACATTAATGTTAGGGATGAACTACGAAAACTGAAACTCAAAAACCCCATTTATCACAATGAAATTTCCTTCTCATTCCTGTATTTAAATTAGCACAATAGGAAATTAAGCAAAGAGAACTGAAATGAAGCTAAACTTTTTCCCCTAACAAGTCTCTTTAACAAATGACAGCTTCTCATTCACTAAATCATACAAAAACCTCACATTCTGCTGCTGATAAGTCCCCAAAACATTCGTCTCGGGCGCCCCGAACAACTGCAGACACACGAAATTCGACATTAAAAAGTTACTCCCGAACGAAAACAGGCTCGTCCCGTTAACTTCCAGGTCAGCCCCCTCGAAATGCCACACCACGCTCGGAAACTTCCCGAAGCCTCTAGGATAGTTATAGCACAAATTCTTCGGGTACATTCTTGTCACGACCTTCTTCACATTCTTGAACTGCTCGAAATAGCCCGAGACGGCCCTCACCAAGGCCCGATAAGCCCGTTCTTCCAACACACTGAAAGGCGACCCTGTATCGATAATGCAGCCTCCTTTGAACGAATCTCTCGGGATTTCGAGCCTTTTCCCGGCAACGCTAATGCCCGTCAGGCCCAACCTGTACCCGCTGCCCAACAACGATTTCCAGGCCCACGGGCTTTTCAAGAACGACGTAGTCTGCACGTTTTTGTCCTCTCCGATCGCCGCATTCTCGCCGAAACTCAAAACCGAGCCCTTCGTCCGGGATCTCGACAGGCAGTACGAGAACCTGGGCCCGGGCCCACTCCCCAGCTGTCGGGCCAGGGAAGTCGGGACGTTCCCCATGCCAAGAACCCCTGTTAGGGCACTTGGGAGGCCGGCCGGGGCCGTGTTGTAGGTCCCGCACCCGAAGACCACATTTGCCAGGTGGCGCTCGACTGGGCCCGGTAGGCTCGGGATGTGGAACGTCTCGGTGGAGACGAGCCCGGACGAGGACAAGCCCGACCCGCCACGCCCGCTCACGAAGTAGTAGCACTCGACGACCGTGCAGTTGAAATATCCCGCGAGCGTGTGGTTTCGGTGCAAGCGCTTGTAGGAGGCGGATTTGGTGCGGTCGAAAACCGGGTGGCTCTGCCTGAAGCACGCGGCGCAGTTTGGCTTGCATTGCGTCCATGTTAGTGGCGCGGCCGTGTCGAAAACGAGGGTCGTTTTTGTGGGGGGAGACCCGATACGTGCGTCGAGCGTGTAGAGAGGGGCACAGAAGAGGAGAGGGAAACGAGGCGAGTTCAGCTCGGAAACTCGAGTTTTCGTGGCTTTGGCGTCCCGCGAGAAGCGTTGGAGGTGAGAGAGGTTGTTGTTATTGGGTTGGTAGAGAGGGGAGTTTGGGTTGTCTCTATGGATGAGGTTTAAGGAGAATGCATTTGATGATGGGAAAATGGTGGAGATGAGGTGAGGGAGTAAGAGAGTTAGGAGAAGATGAGATGTGGTGAAAGCCATGTTTTTCTTTTTTCTTTGTTTAGGGAACAAACAATGTGGATTGTGTTTTTGTGTGTGCTTGTTACGTTTTTATGGTGAAATTTGCTTCACATTTGTGTTTGTATGGGTTGTTAAATTCATTTCATATAGTTTGTAATATTTGGATAATTGCATTTACTCAAAGCTTATTTCTCTATTAATGATTTCGGATGACATTTAGATTTATTGCCTTTTGATGTAGTTACTTTTTACTTTCGTCTTTCCTTCAATGTACGTCTAGATGGTTAGGATACTCTGCTCTCACCCGAGAGACCCGGATTCGAGTCCCGGCAACGGATTACTAATATTTTTTTATTTTTTATTTTTTGTCATAGTTTGAAGATACATCTAAACTTGGATTGTATAAAATTATCCCCTAGTTATGAATTCTTTTATGACATATTGAAATGTTTAATCTTGTTTAGCATGCACATGCAAAGGACTGCAAATGAGAGAACTCAGAGTTTTGGTCTTATCGAGTTGAATTTCATTTTTTCACTGCTGCTCGAGCTTGACTCCTTAACGTGCGTCTCTACTTGATAAAAATATATAAATACTCGAGATCGACTCAAAATTAAGTACTAAGTAGCTAGAGTTTTGCTCGAGTTGGACTCCAACATTAATAAACTTTTTCTATTCAAATAAGATTATTTCTCGAGTTTGGCTCGAATATTCCTCTATTTAAAGATATTCAAGTAAATCATACTTATAATATCTAAATTGGATACACAATATAATTAATTTTTATTTTTTATTTTTTGGATTTTAGTCATGCATTTATGTTTGTGTTAAAATTGAAAATATTCTTTGGTTCTTTGGCGTGCACATAGAACTTTTTCAAAGCCGTCCTTGAGAATTTAATTATATTAATAATATGGAAGATAATGGGGTTGAGTTGGAGTTGAGTTAAATTTGAGTTTTGATTGATTTTTTTACTGTACAAACAATAAACAATCGCCCCTATGCAAGTGATATAATTTTATTCTTGCTTCAAGTGTGTTTTGCTATCGATAATTATTACTAGTACAATACCCGTTTCTTAAATTTTAAAATTTAATTAGAAAAAATATTTTAAATTTTATTTACTTTCTTGCAAAAATATATAGTATTATATATTTTAGAATGACACTTGTTACTTGTGCGACTTACATGTGTTATATTATAGTAATTTTTATAACTTATATCATATAACTACTTGATATACAAATATATTAATTGATAAATAATTTTATTTTTCTAATTAATATTCAAAAATAATTTATTATTGTTGTAAAGATAAATATAATTTTTTATTAATTTGATATATTATAAGTGTAAAATTGATAAAATACAAAAATTATTAACTTTTAAAATACATTTACAATTCAATGGTTATAATAAGAAATAATATTAAAATGCAATTAATAAATGTAGCATGACCATAAATAATCAACATATTTATGGATATTCTGGACCTAATTATTTTTGGATTAGAAATAAATTAAAAGAAACTTAAGCCTAATATTTTGTCATCCCGAAATATGCGAGTCTGTCACTTAAGCCCATATTTGAACACGTTTTGAATTGAATTAAGATATAAGGGAAGGATACCTAAAATCCTTAGCGATCGTTTGGTATGTGAATATTAATTAATTGAGTTGGAGGCGTCAATTATGTTTTAATTAATTTATTTAAGGATAAAAGTTGTCAACGCGAATGAAATTTATTTAAGTACAATCCGTGATCTTTTGGTACGTCAAGGATTGTTTTCCGATGTCATATTATTGATCACGTTTCTATTAATATTTATTTTATATTAATATAAATAATATTTTAATATCAATTTATTTTTTACTATAAAAAAAAAGTTTGTTTATATTTGCAATAATCAACTATTATATTTTATTTTAGACTATTTTTTTAATAAATTTGTTACAATTTTTAAAAAAATGTAATACAACTACTTTGTTTTTGGTGTACTGTGAGACATTTAATACACCCCAATAATATTACTTAAAAAAACTACTTTTATTACTTTATTAATATAATTTAATTAATAGTATGTAAACTAAATATTACGTATGTTTATATTTATTTTCTCGCATTTTAATTTTACATCCTATGAAATTTTGATAAATAGCTGTTAGTAACTCGTTTAGTTCAAAATTCTCTAGGGTTTAACAAATCTAAAATGTTATAATCTGCTAGTATATTTTTTTTTTTTTTGGTTAAAAATAAAATACCAAGTTTCGAAAATGATAAATATAATGGCTGGATAACGAATATTTTCCCCAGATTTTGACCCAATCACACTCTCTCTTAATAGGCCGATTTGTATGTGTGTCTATTGGGCTTAATATGGGAAATGAGTAACATAAAAGGACGCCTTGACCTTGAAGAGTTGAACTAATTAAGAACTTCTGAATTCGTTTTTTCCTCTGCAAGAAACCATGGCGCTCCGAAAATTGGCCGCCGCGGCCGTTGCCGGATTAAAGCCCCGTTCAAGCTCACCTCTCACAGCCATGAGCCGGATCTTACATCGCGATCCTTCTTCCGGAGTCCGTCGTTTCGGCACTCCAGCGCTCGGCCACAAACTGGAGCAAAACAACATCAACATCAACAACAGCTCCGCCGCTGCCGTCGCCGCCGCCGCTGACGATAATCTCATTCTATTGGTGGACCCGATTAAAAACAAAAAACACCACAACATATCCATACTCTCAATGGAAAACAACTTGCTCAAATCAGTTGTACCCAATCGCCTCAATTTCTCTCGTCTGAATAGCCGCGGCACACGCAATGAATTCCTTGCCTTCTGCGACAAGTGGTTGGTATTTGCCTCCGGCGGCCGACGTTCCAAAACTCCGACCGACCTCATGTGGGACCTCACCACCGACGAGATCAGACACATTCCCCAATTCCCGATGAAGCCGCGGCTGCCCTCATCTGCTGACTCTCCCTATACCCTTTGGGGCGTTGGGTTCGACTCTGGCTCCGGTGACTATAAGGTGGTCCGGGCTTCAAATGAAAAACGGGCCGAGCTCCTATCGCTCAACACTGGCTTGTGGAGGGAAATCCGGTTCCCTCACAGTCCGGACAAAATCGTTGTTGATAACGTGCGTTCGGTTCACATTAACGGCGTTTATTACTGGACGGCCCATTTAAAGGACGATGAACGCGACGCTATTCTTCGGTTCGATTTCGGCCGTCAAGAGTTTCCGGCGGATCTCATTCACATGCCGAAAGTCGTGACCAATTGGGCCGGGCCCATTAAGCCCGTTCTTGTGAACTATCACGGGTCGCTTGCTGTTATCTTACAAAAAGATTGTCTTGCTTGGAAGGATATCGGGCCTATCGATGATGAAAAGGAGAATAATCATAATAATCCTCTGTGGTTCGAGATTTGGGCGTGGAGCCACGCGGACCGTAGTTGGTCTCGTGTGTCCACGAATCGTGTCCCGGTGAATGCTGATGTCACCGAGGTTGTGGGCCTATGCAAAAATAGTGACAAAGTGATTCTTCTCGACTCAGTCGAGGGTTCGATTCTGCTTTACGATTGTGGGACGACCGAGTTGGAGAGTTTTCGCGCAATGGAAGGATGCGGGTCCCAATTTCCATTTCTTACACCTACTTTTTTCATTATTATAATATTAATTATTATATATGTTTATATATATATTCGCGATGGTGCTAAGGCCTTTTGTTAGAGAGTCTCGACGAGTAAGTGGTTCGGGTCTCAAATTCTATCTTGCATAGTTGGTCTTTACCCTTTTATAGTTTTCAGTATTACTTGATATATTTTCTTATTTATTGTTTTGGTCATTTGGTAGAAACACGTTTATCTTCAACGCTTTTGTTTAATAATATGTCTTGGGTTGAGAATTTAATAATATGTTTATATTCTACACTTTTATGGTCTTGAGTTGATAATTCTTGTATAGAATCGCTTTTATTTAATAATATGTTTATTTTCTATGCTTTTATGGTCTTGTACTAAGAATTATTGTATAGAATGTCTTTATTGATAGTAATATCATGATAAATCAGCAACCCGGTAAAAAAGTGTGAGACAGAATAAACAAAAATTAATTAAATATTTTTTATCTAAGTGTTTTATAATTTTAAAAGTCGTAATAGGTAGGGCTAGAATCCAACCTACACGAACTGTCCAAAATTATTGAAATTATTTTGAAGCACCAGAAATCGACATAGGTTGAAGACATTCTACATTAATAGAAGGGGATATCTATTTATTTTTTATTATAGAAATAATATTTTTTGGTTATTTCCGATCGTCTGAATTATTTTGCCGTCGGGTGGTTTTGAGGGAGCGTTTGGAAGGATTTGGATTGTTTTGGGTCAAATAAAGGGTAGTCTTGTTTGAAACACTTGATGCATGGAGTGCACTGTGTCCAGGTTAGCTCGCAGCCTGGGTCGAAAATGAAAGATTTTTTGGCGGGAGGTGTGCCGATAGTGGCCTCGATTGTGAAAATGGAATTCGACCTCGTGGTTCTTTGGCAGATTGTGTTCGGGAAATAGTTTGTGGGTGTCGAGTTTTTGGATAAGGTGATGGAGTCGTGCCACGTGAGTTTTAGGGAGAAACCTGCGGCCGATCTCGAGTCGAGAGGGAGGGAATGATGGAGGAGAGATAAAGGAAAGTAAAATGAGAAGAAAAGAGTGAAATGGTGTAGCCATGGTTAAGGTTTTATGTACTTGTTGTGATGGAATATATAAATAACTGATGCCCTGTGAAAAGGTAAGGTTAGATTTTCACATTTCAACACAGGTTGAGAGAAGTAGTAAATATGTGATGAAGACCGTGCATCAGGACTCGATTTTGTGTAAGAACCCGCGCTAACGACCTTGATTCAAACACGATAAAATGTGTAAACCCGCACTAACCATTCAAATATTTAAATTATATACTAAACTTACTAATCTTATAGACATACTCCCTCTCATATACTTCATTGAGCCCGAATGCTCGATTCGCATCAATATGTTTTGACATATAATGAAGCTCTTATCTTCAACTCTGTTTTTTCCAATACTTCAAATCTTCCCATAAATTTAATTTACAAACAGAAAGAGGCAGTAAAAAAGGTATGGGGTTGTTTAATTTGCAGCAAATGAGATTTGCTTTTTTTCAGTTTTTTAATTTAGACAAGGATACATTAGTGTTAGGGATGAAACATGAAAATTGAAACTCAAAAAACCCATTTATCACAATCAAAATTTCCTTCTCATTCCTGTATTTACATTAGCACAAGAGGAAATTAAGCACAGAGAGATGAATGAAGCTAAACTTTTTCCGTAACAAGTCTCTTTCACAAATGACAGCTTCTCATTCACTAAATCATACAAAAACCTCACATTCTGCTGCTGATAAGACCCCAAGAAAACAGATGAAATTCGACATGAGAAAGTTACTCTCGAACGGAAACAGGCTCGCCCCGTTAACTTCCAGGTCAGCCCCCTCGAAATGCCACACCACGCTCGGGAACTTCCCGAAGCATCTAGGATAGTTATAGCACAGATTCTTCGGGTACTTTCTTGTCACGACCTTCTTCACATTCTTGAACTGCTCGAAATAGCCCGAGATGGCGCTCACCAAGGCCCGATAAGCCCGTTCTTCCAACACACTGAAAGGCGACCCTGTATCGATAATGCAGCCTCCTTTGAACGAATCTTTTAGGATTTCGAGCCTTTTTCCCGAAGACCATGTTTGCCCGGTAGGCTCGGGGTGTGGAACGTCTCGGTGGAGATGAGCCCGGATGAGGACAGGCCTGACCCGCTCACGAAGTAGTAGCACTCAAGGACCGTAAAGTTGAAATATCCCGCGAGTGTGTGGTTTTGGTGCAAGCGCTTGAAGGTGGCGGATTTGGTGCGGTCGAAAATCGGGTGGTTCTGCTTGAAGCACGCGGAGCAGTTTGTCTTGATTCGTGCGTCGAGCGTGTAGAGAGGGGCGCAGAGGAGGAGCGGGAAACGAGGCGAGTTCAGCTCGAAAACTCGAGTTTTCGTGGTTTTGGTGTCGCGCGAGAAGTGATGGAGGTGAGAGAGGTTGTTATTGGGTTGGGGTTGGTAGAGAGGGGTCCGGGGAGTTTGGGTTGTCTCTATGGATGAGGTTTAAGGTAATTAAATTTGATGATGGGAAAATGGTGGAGATGCGGTGAGGGAGTAAGAGAGTTAGGAGAAGATGAGATGTGGTGAAAACCATGTTTTTTTTAGGGGACAAACAATGTGGATTGTGTTTTTGTTTGTGTTTGTTACGTTTTTATGGTGAAATTTCACATCTGTGTTTGATGGATTGTTAAATGCATTTCGTGTAGTTTTGTTATGGCTATGTTTGGTAAAACTAACTGATAACTGATAAGTTAGTTGTTGGTATGACTCATATATTGCAAAGGAAGGGGGCAAGTTGATGCCTACGAGCGTAGCGGAGTGAGGGAAGTGGAGCGAGCAGGCATCAGCCCCTGTTGGGCTGGGGTACGGGGTGTTTAAGTAAATTTATACCTTGTACGGTTATAATATAAATACATTGTGTATTGATGTATTTGGGATTATCGTTAATAATAAAAAGATCACTCCTTCGCCCTGGACGTAGGCACATTGCCGAACCACGTAATCTTGTGTTGTTTACTTTCTCGTCTTTAATTCGTATTGTCCTCGTTTCACAACATTAGCTTATAGCTTATCAGTAATTTTTTAGCTTATAGTTTATAGGTATGACTTATAGCTGATAAGCTAGCTTACATGATAAAAGTGTTTGGTTAAATTAGCTAATAAGCTAGTTGATATAAAAAATTCAACTAACTTATTTGAAAAGCTACCTAAGGAAGTTTATCAAATAAGCTCGAACTTTTTAAAAAAGCTCGTCCTACCAAACGAGACTTATTTGAATCCAGTGAGCTTATAAGTTAACCAAATAAGCTATAAGTTAGCTTATTTGTTTGGAAAAATTGCACCATTCGTCCACTAATTATACCCGAGTTGCACTTTCGTCCTTTAATTATTATTTTTTTTTTACTTTTGGTACACTATCATTTTGTTTTGGCAATTTTCGTCCGAATCGTGATTCCGGTGCTCATTTTTGCCGGAAAGTTGATGTGACGCCCAGTCGGATTGTGCGCCACATCAGCTTTTCCGGCGCCACATCAGCTTTTCCGGCAAAAAATGAGCACCAGAACCTCGATTTGGACGAAAATTGCAAAAAAAATAAATTATAGTGTACCAAAAAAAAAATAAAAATTTAAAGGACGAAAGTGCAACTCAAGTATAATTAGTGGACGAATGGTGTAATTTTTCCTATTTGTTTACCAAACATAGTATATATTTGGGCAGTTGCATTTAGTTGAAGCTTATTTCTCTACGGATGGATTGGGATGACATTTAGATTTAGGAAAAAACTATATGTACAACATGTGATATGATGTGGGTGGTTGAGATTTGAGTCAATGATACTTTTAACTAAGTTATCAACCAATGTTGTAAACTACAATTGTACATGTACCATTGCTCTTAGATTTATTGCCTTTTGCTCTAGTTATTTTCTCGTTTCCTTCAAAGTCCACAAATGTGTTAAAGAAAAAAAAAAAGACAGAGGGCCAGTCAACTTCCGTTGTAGTTTAGATGGTTAGGATACTCCGTTCTCACCTGAGAGACCCGGTTCGAGTCCCGGCAACGGAATTTATTTTTATGTTTTTGGAAATTAATGTACAAAAGAGCAAATACATTGAAATATGTGGGCCTAGCCTAAAGTGCGGAAGGACTTGCTATATCGGAGAAATTAAATTAGAACAATGGGCCTAATTTAACAACAACAACAACATAGCCTTTAATCCCAAGCAAGTCGGGGTAGGCTAGAGATGAAACCCAAGGGAAACACAAAAAAGACTCGAACCAAAAGGAAGAGATCGAAAGAAAGAAAAGAAAAAAAAAGTAATAATAATAATAAAAATAAAATAAAATAAAATAAAATTAAATAAAATAAAATAAACGGAAGAGAGAGAGAGAGAGAGAGAGAGAGAGAGAGAGAGAAAGGAGCAAAAGTCACGGTTCTGGCACGTTGATAGCGAGCCTCCAAGCGCTCCTATCCACCGCTAAATCCTTGGATATATTCCAATCTTTAAGGTCTCTCTTAACCGACTCTTCCCAAGTGAGTTTAGGCCGACCTCTACCTCTCTTAACATCCTCGACCCGCTGTAAAACTCCCCTACGCACCGGTGCATCAGGAAGCCTCCGTTGGACATGTCCGAACCACCTCAGCCGATGTTGAACTAATTTCTCCTCAATTGGAGCCACCCCGACCCTATCTCGAATATCCTCATTCCGAATTCTATCCCTTCTTGTGTGCCCGTAGAACCAACGCAACATACGCATCTCTGCTACACTTAGTTGTTGGACATGTTGCCTTTTTGTAGGCCAACATTCAGCACTGTATAGCATCGCCGGGCGAATCGCCGTCCTATAGAACTTACCTTTTAGCCTTTGTGGCACCCTCTTATCACAGAGAACGCCCGACGCCTGACGCCATTTCAACCAACCGGCTGCAATTCTATGCCTAACATCAGCATCAATGCCGCCATCCTTTTGTAGCATCGATCCCAAATACCGGAAAGTCTCCTTCTTGGCCACCACTTGCCCGTCAAGGGTAACGTCACCATCATCATGTGAAGCCATGCTGAAAGCGCACGTCATGTACTCGGTCTTCGTCCTACTAAGTCTGAAGCCTTTCGACTCTAATGCATCCTTCCACAGCTCCAACTTCCTATTTACCCCTGCTCTACTCTCATCAACTAGCACCACATCATCAGCAAAGAGCATACACCAAGGGATATCACCTTGTATGTCCCTTGTGACCTCATCCATCACCAAGGCAAATAGATAAGGGCTCAATGCTGACCCCTGGTGTAGTCCTATTTTAATTGGGAAGTCGCTGGTGTCGCCCCCACATATTCGGACACACGTCATCGCATCCTTGTGCATATCCTTGATGAGGGTAATGTACTTAGATGGGACTTTATGCTTTTCTAAGGCCCACCACATGACATTTCTCGGTACTCTGTCATAAGCCTTCTCAAGGTCGATAAAGACCATGTGCAAGTCCTTCTTTTGGTCCCTATATCTCTCCGTCAGCTGTCGAATTAGGAAAATCGCCTCCATGGTCAACCTTCCAGGCATGAACCCAAATTGGTTTTGGGTCACAGTCGTCACTCGTCGTAGGCGATGCTCGATAACCCTCTCCCAGAGCTTCATCGTATGACTCATCAACTTAATCCCACGGTAGTTACCACAGCTTTGAACATCTCCCTTGTTCTTGAAGATCGGTACTAAAGTACTTCTCCTCCATTCATCAGGCATCTTGTTTGACCGGAAAATGAGGTTAAAAAGTTTAGTTAGCCATGTTAACGCTTTGGCGCCCAAGCATCTCCACACCTCAATGGGGATACCATCAGGGCCCATTGCTCTACCTCCCTTCATCCTCTTCATAGCCTCTCCGATCTCTGCCTCCCGAATTCTTCTCACCACGCGTCTATTGGTATCCTCAAGTGAGTCATCCAATTGTAGGGTAGGACCCTCACTCTCCCCATTAAACAATTTGTCGAAGTACTCTCGCCATCTGTCCTTGATCTCCCCATCCTTCACCAGTGGCCGATCCGACCCATCCTTAATGCATTTGATTTGGTTGACGTCCCTTGTCTTCCTCTCCCAAATCTTAGCCATCCTATAAATGTCCTTCTCCCCCTCCTTCGTGCCTAGGCGCTGATAAAGGTCATCATATGCCTGACCCTTCGCTACACTCACGGCATGCTTTGCAGCCCTTCTCGCTATTTTATAGTTCTCAGTGTTGGTTGCACTCTTATCAAGGTGGAGGCGCTTGAAACACTCCTTCTTCTCTTGAATAGCCCTTTGCACCTCGTCATTCCACCACCAAGAGTCCTTCGCTTCCTGCTTGCCTCCCCTACTCACACCAAGAACTTCTGCAGCCACCTTCCGTACACATGTTGCCATCTTTAGCCACATGTCATCTGCATCTTCTCCTTCTTCCCAAGGCCCCTCACCTAGCATCCTATCCCTAAACGTCTGTGCCGCTTCCCCTTTAAGCTTCCACCACTTCGTTCTCACGGACTTGGCACATTTGTTCCGGCGGACACGTGTTCGGAATCGAAAATCCGCCACCACCAGCTTATGCTGGGGGACAACACACTCCCCAGGTATCACCTTACAATCTACGCAAGCGCTTCTATCCTCCCTCCTTGCAAGGATAAAGTCGATCTGACTCGAGTGTCGTCCACTATGGAAGCTCACCAGGTGAGATTCCCTCTTCCTAAAGAGGGTGTTCGCTATCAACAAGTCGTAGGCCATCGCAAAGTCCAACACACCCTCCCCCTCTTCGTCCCTACTACCAAATCCAAACCCTCCGTGCACTCGCTCGAAACCTACCTTAGTCGCACCCACATGGCCGTTTAGGTCCCCTCCTACAAAGAGCTTCTCGCTGGCAGGCACCGTACTAACCAAGGCATCCAAGTCCTCCCAGAATTACCTCTTTGTGCTCTCACTAAGACCTATCTGAGGGGCATAGGCACTGATCACATTCATGGTCAAATCTCCAACTACCAATCGGACTAGGATAATCCGGTCGCCTTCCCTTCTAACATCGACAACTCCATCCTTAAGGCTCCTATCGATCAAGATGCCTACACCATTCCTACTCGATGAAGCCCCAGTGAACCAAAGCTTGAAGCAGTATCCTCCACCTCCTTCACCTTCTGACCCTTCCATCTTGTCTCCTGGATGCATAGGATATTTACACGCCTCCTAGTAGCTGCATCGACTAGCTCACGTAGTTTACCCGTTAGGGACCCTACGTTCCAACTACCTATACGGACCCTAGTTGGTTCGACTAGCTTCCTTGCCCTTCGCACCCGTCGAGAGAGATGCGAAGACCCTTGCTCATTTTCCACTACACCCGGGCGCCGATGTAGTGCGCCACTAAGGAAATGACGACCCGGTCCTTGCTCATTTAACACCATGCCCAAACCACGACATGGCGCGTCCCCAAGGGGGGGACGACCCGGACCTTGCCCATTTGACACCATACCCGGGTTCCGGTATGGCGCGTCGCTAAGAGGGTTACGCCTCAACGAATTTCTCATGTGTTTCATCTCCATAGAACGGCTAGGTTTTACGTTGGCTCGCCAAGCCTATCACAACCCTCCTCCTTTACCAGGGCTTGGGACCTGCTATGTTGAGACAACATAGGCGGAGTTAATGGGCCTAATTTAAATTAAACTAAATTATAAATCTGAATTTATAATAATATGGTCAATGATTTCTTTAAATACAATGGGTAAATCTGGCCAATAATGAGAAAGAATATTAAAAATCTTGTTTTTAAGAAGTTCGATCAATCATTTTTTTTAATTTTTTTCAATCAAACATGTAAATTTGGTTACAAAAATCCGATCAACCATTTAACGAATAAAAAGTTTGAAATTTTTTGAAAACTTTCAAAAAGTCATGCCAACTTAATTGTTAAATATTGTTTTATCTATCTATAAATCTCATATTTTATGGTCACACCTAAAATTTCGTATTTATTTAATAAACAATGTTAATTTCAGAAATTATTTTCTATATTGTGATAATTCAGCTTAATTAATATTATTTTTCCATATTTATTTGACTAAAAATATTTTAAAGTTTAGAAATAATCTCATATTATGTGGATTCTTGGTACCAAATTTAAATGCGGATCTTAAATGTATCATGTTTATTAGAAATATATGTATCTTTCAAAAAATATGATGATCATATAATTAGTTTTATCATATATGATGTGTTCGATGCTATTAATTTGTTTGAGGACACTCATTATATTCAAATAAATAATATATAATTTTTTATATTTTGTAATTCTTTTCTTACAATAATCCCTTCTATATATAATTTCAGAATGCGCTGAGCTTACATGACAAACTCTCATACTTAGGAATCCTATTTGGCAAAACATCATGCTTTGGAGTTAGTCTTGGATATAAATTAATATTTTTTATTACACTAAATCCATGATTGATTTTTTCATTCTTTACTTCTAAAATTAAGTTACCATAAACTATTTTATGTTTCATTTTCTTACATTACCATTCATCACATTTTATTTTCTTATATAATTCATTCATTAGTTTTTATAAATGTTTCTTCTTCTTATTTTAAGATTTTATAACGTTTTTTTGTATTTTATTTTTTATATATATCAAATTAACTAGCTTTTAAGGATTTCGATTTGACATCCATATTATATATAAAAATACAAAACAGTAATATATATTTTTATACATAAAATTTAAATTTATTTATCAAACTAAATTAAATTATATAAAATAAAACTAAAATTTGTATTGTAAAGTTATAGAAATTGGTATGTATTCTTTTGAAAATGATATTTATTTCAAATCTTATTGGTATGTTGTCAATCTAATAAAAATAAATAATTATTTATCTAAATTCTAAAATTATATATAAAGTTAAAAAAACTGTGAAGCACGATTGATACGATACTTGATGTATTGGGCATCTAATTAAGTAAAAAAATAATCTATTTTGTTTATTATTAAATAAACATATTCGACACTTATGCATATACATATCACCATATTATTTCTATTTATTTAAGATATATATTTTTGTACTTATGTAATTGTAAATAATATCGATATTTTTATATGATATAAGTAAAAAAATTCAACACGAGTTGACATTTTCATTTAATGTATGGATGTTTAATTATTATGATTAAAAAAATATAATTTAACAATTTAATTAAAACTCAAAGTAATGTTTTATATAAAATTAAATTATTTTAGTTTTTTAAAAATAAAAAATTTAATATTTTTTTTATAAAAATTTTTTAATTCAACACCCGTATAATACACGGGTATTGTACTACTAAGATGTTAAACATAAATAATTATATCTCGAAAATGTCTTTTAAGTAAAAAATCCTATGCATTAGTACAATGTACAATGTTCCGGAAATTGATAAATTTAGTGGCTCGATAATGAAAATTTTCCCGTATTTGAGACCACTCACGTACTCTCAATGGGCACAACTGTAAATATACCCATTGGGCTTAAATATGCANAAGAAAATTTAACGTCTTTCTCTGCAAGCAAACATGGATATGCGAATTATAAAAGAATGCCGTGATGAATAACGATTTGTAGATCCATTCTCTCTGCACGCAAACATGGCGCTCCGAACACTGGCCACCGCCGCCGTTACCGGAGTAAAGCCCCGTTCAAGCCCACCGCTCCGAACACTGGCCGCCATCAGCCGGATCTTACATCGTAATCCTTCTTCCGGCGTCCGTCGTTTCGGCACTCCCGCGGTCCGCTGCAATCTGGGGCAAAACAACATCAACAACAGCTCCGCCTCAGCCTCCACCGACAAAAATTTCATTCCATTTGTGCAGCCGATTAAAAACAGTAAACACCACAAGATATCCCTACTCTCAATTGAAAACAACTTGCTCAAATCAGTTTTACCCAATCGCCCCAATTTCTCTCGTCTGAATAGCTGCGGCACACGCAGTGAATTCCTTGCCTACTGCGACAAGTGGTTGGTGTTTGCCTCCGGCGGCGGACGTTCCACAACTCCGGCCGAGCTCATGTGGGACCCCACCACCGACGAGGTCAGACGCATTCCTCAATTTCCGTTGAAACCGCGGCTGCCCTCATCTCATGACTCTCCCTATACCCTCTGGGGCGTTGGGTTCGACTCCGGCTCCGGCGACTATAAGGTGGTCCGGGCTTCAAAAGAAAAACGGGCCGAGCTCCTATCGCTCTCCACAGGCTTGTGGAGGGAAATCCGATTCCCTCACAATCCGGACAAAATAGTCGTTGATAACGTGCGTTCGGTTCACATAAACGGTGTTTATTATTGGTCGGCCCATTTAAAGGACGAGAAACGCGACGCTATCCTTGGGTTCGATTTCGGCCGCCAAGAGTTTCCAGCCGATCTCATTCAAATGCCGAGCAATCGGGCCGGGCCCTTGAAGCCCGTTTTGTGAACTATCACGGGTCCCTTGCCGTTATCTTACAAGATGATTGCCGTTATCCTATTGGAAAGGAGAATAATCATAATAATCCTTTGTGGTTGGAGATTTGGGTGTGGCGCCACGTGAAGCGTAGCTGGTCTCGTGTGTCCACGGTTCGTGGCCCGGTGAATGCTGATGTCACCGAGGTTGTGGGGCTATGCAAAAATAGTGACAAAGTGATTCTCCTCGACTCAGTCGAGGGTTCGATTCTGCTTTACGATTGTGGGACGACCGAGTTGGAGAGCCTCGGCGTAATGGAAGGATTGGGGTCCCAATTTCCATCTATTGCATATTTTATACTTATCGGTATTATTTATTATTTTTATCAAAGTATAAAGTATTGGTTGTTAGAGCTCTTGTTTGGACGACCGAGTTGGAGAGGGACGTGGAGGGACTACCTGTCTCGAGTCTCACATTCTATATATTTCATAGTTTTAGTCTTTACCTTTTCCAATATTACTTAAGAAAATGCTAAGGTCGGAACCATTAGTTCCCACTTACTTTATATTGTTTAGGAGATAGTTAGTCACTTTTATACTTGTTAGTATTATTTTCTTATTTATTGCTTAGGCCTCTTGCTTTTATTTAATAATACATTTATGATCTTCTACGTTTCTATGGTCTTGAGTTGAGAATTCTTGTATAGAATAGAATCGCTTTAATAATACGTTTATATATCTTGTACGATTTGATCATATCTATATGGTACCGCTGCAACAGACAGAGCGTTGGATTGCTTTTCCGTCTGGCATAGCTTCTTATCAGTACTGGGACATAGTTTCATGAATATGTAGGAGAAGTTATTATCATCTATTTAAATTTTTATTATAGATTTTTTTTTTGTTTATTTTAAACATTTATACGATAGTCAATTATTTATCTTATTCTGAAGGTCATTAAAAAATTTTGTTATAGATTTAAAAAGTGAAGAGAAGTACTTTGCTTTTGGTATATATAATGTGAAACATTTAATATACGTCAATAATATTTAATGAAAAAATTACTTTGATGATTTTATTGATATGATTTGAATAAAATTATGTAAAAATATATGAAGTTAATACTAAATATATATATGTATAAGTCTGTAAACTGCTGTTGATGTTATCTCTCGCTGGTATGTGAAGGGTTGTTTTCCCATGTCATATTGACCATGTTTATATTAATATAAGTAAGATTTTAATACAGTTCTTTAATTTTGATTATAAAAAAGTTTGTTTATTTTCGCGATATATATATACCACCTATCACACAGTTTTATACTCGTCGTCAACTAGGTCATAGAACGGTTTCGCCTCATTCTCCTTGCTTTCCGCCTTTGACGATTCTGTTGATACTGATGTGTGACACACTATTCATGGAGAGTCTTGGGTTCGTCATAGATATAATTTACGTGATCGTGCTACTATTGTGTCTCCTGACCGGTTGGATTTTCCACATGCGAGTGCTATTGTTGATGAGCCTTACACTTATCAGGAAGCTTCGCCTATTCCGGAATGGCAACTTGCTATGTCTGATGAACTTGCTGTACTTGATCGTACCAGCACTTGGGATGTTGTTTCATTACCTTCACATGCCGTACCTATCACGTGTAAGTGAGTCTTTAAGATTAAGACGAAGCTGGATGGTTCTGAGAGAGAACTGCTTTGTTTTTGGTATACTATGAGTACACATCAATAATATTTATTAAAAAAATTTACTTTTATTACTTTATTAATATAATTTAATTAAAAGTATGTAAACTAAATATTATATATGTTTATATTCATTTTTTTGCATTTTAATTTTACATCTTTTGAAATTTTGGTAATTAGCTGCTTGTTTAACCCAAAATCCGCTATGGTTTACATGTTTAACCCAAAATCATCTATATGGTTATAATCNTAAAATACCAACTTTTGAAAATTATAAAAACTAGTATAAAACCGGTGTATTGCACGGGTGCTTGATAAAAAATTAAAAATATTATACTTAAATTTAAAAAGCAGTAGTACAATACTTGTGCATTACATGGATGCTTGTTAAAAAATATATACATAAATTTAAAAAGTGATAGAAAAAAAAGTATGTTTTAAATTTTAACTTTTTTTTCTTATATATATATATATATTATTGTAATTATATTTGAAATGACACTATCACATATTCTACTTATTTATATTATAATATTTTTTAAACTATATCATATAACTACTTTGTCCTTAAATTTATTTAATTTCTAAGTAATTTTATTTTTTTCAACTAAAATTAATAGATGATTTGATTTTTTATTTGTAAATATAGATATAATTATTTATTTACTTTATCATACAATATAGATGTCAAATCGAAACTAATGAAAAGAATATTGATTTCATATATTATATATGAAAATTTGATAATAAATATAAAAATTATCTTTTAAAATATATTTATAATTTAAGTTAGTAATGCGTATTATAATTGAAAAAAAAAAGATTGGGAGGAAAAAATATAATGAGACAAAAATTTATGAACTATGTTCATATTAGAAAATAATATTAAAACACAATTAACAAAAATGATCATAGATATTCAATATATTTATGGATAATCCTAAGCCTAATTATTTATGAAATGAAAATAAATAAAAACTTATCCGAACCAAGTGACGAAACATGTAATTTCCCCAAATAGGACCCAAGAGTAGGGTTGTAAACGAATCGAATCAAAGCGAATACTAAGATATTCGATTCGAATTCGTTAAAATATTCGAAGATTCGAATTCGTATTCGATTCGTTAACGAACTTATTTTTTGATTCGTATTAGATTCGTTTATAATATTCGAACATATTTGATTCATTTCGAAATTCGTTTTCAGAAAAATATTATAATTGAAAAAATATTATAATTACAAAAATAATTTTTATTTTGCCATATATATGTAGGAAAAATTGTTAGTTTAAGATGTTTTTACTTTTTATGTCATAAAATTATTAGAAATATAACAATATATATACAAATATATTATAAACAAAATATATACTATATATAATTTATAAAATTTATATAATTATTGTTAACGAATCGAATATTCGAATTTCGAATCGAATATCTACATATTCGAATTCGAATTCGTTTAATTTCGAATATAAAACATTATTCGTATTCGAATTCGAATTCGAATATTTCGAATTCGAATCACGAATATCGAATCGAATCAAAAAAATTTGATTTGTTTACAACCCTACCCAAGAGCGTGCGAGTTTGTCAATTAGACTCAACACATTCGAAAATTAATAAATTATATATAGGGGATGATGGTTCGATAATGAATATTGGGCTCGGATTTGGGCCCAATCACATTCTCTTAATAGGCGGATTTGCAACTGTGGCCATTGGGCTCAATAGGGGAAGTAACCTGCTAAATTACTTAACTGTCTAATATACACATATAGAGTTTAGAAAAATACAAATTGCATACAACATTTATATAAATACATGTTGGTTTAGTAAAATACGTCAAGAAAGAAAAAAGAAAACCTGTTGAAATTTAAAAACCGATTAACCTTATCAGTTTCTACATGTTTTAAAATAACAGAGAACCGATTAGCCTTATCAGTTTCTACATGTTTCAAAACTACCCTTGAAAGCGTTAAAAAAAAAAAATTGACAAAACAACAAAGAACATCACGAAATTTTTTTTTAAAAAAAACTTTATAAAAAA